CTTTTTTTTTTTTTTTTTTTTTTTTTTTTTTTTTTTTTTTTGTTGGGCATTGACTTTGACTTGGTTATTTTTCAGGATCCTTACTTCCGAATGACGCGAGATGTGGCTCCTCGGTTAGGTTATCACAAGCCTGCTTTGATAGAATCATTATTCTTCCCTGCGCTTCAGGTTTCCTTCAATCTTCTCAATAAAAATTAATGATAGACAGTGTATATTTAAAAGCTGTCTAGGAATTACAGTATTGCTACTGAAAATTGTCTACTGCATTTCTGCTGGGTAATTAGCTAATTTTGCCTGTTGCTCTCATGTGTCCTTGCTCTGCCAGAGAAGTCCTCTATTTTTCATATGAAGCTTTTTTACATCAAGAATTGCTGTTTTTATCATCACATTTCAGTAGTATCATTTCATATAAATAAATGCTCCTTTAATTGGATTTTGAAGCTTAAAAAATTAACAGGATCTTCTGGACGGGAGTACTTCATTTCTAGGATGAAAGAACTGATGCTTGGGCATTTCTTTCCAGAAGGCCATATATATGCCTGTCAGACAGACCTACGCTACTTTTGAGTTTTGGCCATTATAGGAAAGATATATTTCACGTGTTTACTGCATGTTTGGGCTTCGTTCTGCTAAAATTCTTGAGCAGGCATCATATAGGTCACCACCCCAGCATTCCCATGAAGACGTGTTAGGTTAGTGTCCATAATGCTGGGATCCATGTGAAAAGCAATGTCATTGTCCATCTGATTTTTGGTGAAGTTTCATCGCTTCTTGAGTGCTGTAACTATATTCATGTATGATTTCTAGCAACATACTGTACCTCTCTATGCATAGTTTAGCTTGGTTTCCTACCATAAGTCTAAGTGAATCATTTTGTCAGCAAAATCTTCAAAATAAGTTCATTGATTGTAAGCATTTTGACTGAGAGTTGATGTGAAGCACAGTTCGATATCTTATTCTGAAATTATATTTTTGCAGAAATAGTTCTCTGCTTTACCTTTATAAGCAATCCGTTAGCTTGTCAATGCAACTTCCTACCTCTATATTTATGGAATTTTTTGTTGCAGTTATTTCAAGCTGCAAGTTAGGCAATTGCTTTTGTGCAAGTTATAGTTAACTTTTTGTGAGATTACAAACTTGCAGGGGGAGACAGGAAAAATGTCTGCCAGTGATCCAAATTCTGCCATCTATGTGACTGATTCCGGGAAGGATATTAAAAACAAGGTTCTACTTCAGTGTGTATTTTCCCCACTTCTCACTATTATCAAGTGGAACAGTACTTTATCCATATTGCATACTTCTCTGCTGGGATAACATCTATGATGGCATATATGGTCCTTCGTCTCATGACTATGCAAATTTGGGGAGTGTGTTATAATTATGGGGTTGGATGCATCCATGCAGTAATGTCTTTCTGCATTTCATTACTCGTTATATGATATCATTAAGAAATGTTCAAAGTAAAAATAGATTCTAGTTTGATTTAAGTTTTTGAAAAGCCCATTTAGAAAAAAATATTTGGTTACCAGTAAGTTCCTTTTCAAATGTAATACCCTGGTAAGCCATAATCAGTGGTTAAACAGTTAACTTAATTGCTAGTCTAACAATACATTACTTGTCCTTCAGCATCATCAAGCTATAGCGAGGTCATTACTTGGTGATTCACTACCGTGCAATTGTTGGGAATGTTGGATTGGATATTGGACTAATTTATATAGACAATTTGCATATCAGGGCTGTCAAACCAGTCATGCATTCAATTCTCTTCCTTGGCTGTGACCTTTTGATCCATTGAACCCCTTACTGCAAAGTCACATCATATATCTTTTGACACCAGTTACTGAGTTCTTTCAGCTAGTGTAATTTCCAAACTTTAATGGTTTTAGGATTGAAGGTTCCTTTTGTGCATTAAACATCATTCAAGGCTTTCATCAATCCATATTTTATATTATAAAATTCTTTCATCCTACTTCTTTGTATTGATTATGTATAGCATTTCCAATTGATTTCAACTTTGAGAGACCACAGAAAACTAAACCTCTGTTCTTGATACCTGTAATTAAATCTACATCTTGTAGCAGTAGTCATTCATGAATTCAAATCTAACTGTTTATGCTGCTGACTCTGAGGATGCTGTATTGGTATTTAGTGTTGTTACTTTGGCTAAGAGTAAATTTTTTTCAGATAAACAAATATGCTTTCTCTGGTGGGCAAGATTCTGTTGAAAATCATCGCAAGTATGGAGCAAACCTTGAGGTACTATATAATTTATATCGTCTACCGGGTAATCCATACGGTGAAAAGATGAACTATATTTTTCGAGAGACACATCCTCAATTTTCATTTGTTTTCAGGTTTCACATACTATCCTCTATTTACATGTTTTTGGTAGCTGAGTAGTAGTTTATTCCACCATGGTCTTAAATACTCCTTTGTGCATGCTGTGTTCTTTTAAATGCTTGGGATGAGGCACACTAATCTCACTCTTGCCTTCCTCTTTGATATTTTTCAGGTGGACATACCAATTAAATATCTTGGTTTTTTCTTGGAGGATGATGTCGAACTCAAACATATTAGGACGGTAAGATAATAATGTATTTACTATGTAAGTTACGGCATTATACTTTTTGGTGGAATTGTGTTTGAATTAATATTTACTTGTCCTTTCCCCGTTCTTACACAATCACAAACAATAATCTCTCTTTCAAATAATGACCATATTGTAATCTCTCAGGAATATGGAGCTGGTCGTATGCTAACAGGCGAAGTTAAGAAACGGCTCACAGAAATTCTAACAGAAATGGTTGAAAGACATCGCAGGGCTAGAGCTGCTGTGACAGATGAGGTATTTGGGGGTTAATCTATTAGTTTTTATCTCAAGTTACTGTCAAACAATATGATGCTGATACTGTAAATCCTCAGAACCAAATCAATTTAAGGATTTAGTTATCTTGTTATATAATTGCTAACAAGCATTTGGAGGAAGAAAAACTAAAGTAACTTTGCATAATGAGGCTCTCATTGTCGTTTACTGAGATATATATTTCCAGTATATTTATTCTCGATTCTTGATGGTGGTCTAGAAAATTTAGTTCTTTATCAGTTCTTCATTAACGTTTTGTCTTACTTTTGTTAACGCGACTGGATACAATTGCTACAACTGAGTCACTGCCTCATAGGCGGAATTTAAAAGAGGAGATAGATGTTTATTTCATTTTTCTCCTTTTTCTGACAATTACTTTTGGAAGATATGAAACATGGGAAATCATATTTTCCAGATGTTAACTACCGACAGCTATTTATTTACTTATAATTTATATGGTTTAGTTTGATGTCTTTACTTACTTTTGTTTCCACAGATGGTAGACGCATTCATGGCAGTGCGGCCGCTTCCCAACATGTTCAGCTAAATTGGAAGGAAGCGATAGTCGAGTTCTATGTGTTTCTTGCAAAAGCTATGGCATATCTTACTCATCGGTATGGAAGAACACTTGAAATCTAAAGAATTTTGTTCTTCCATGGATCATTTTTTCCACACCTGGTCATTTACTCAGTCTAATTGAGTCTTTAACTTCTTTTTTTAAGCTTTATGACAGAATAGGCAATTATTGATGAAAGTAACTTGCGTTTTCTTGGCTTGGAATTTGTGTTATTAATCAGAAAATGGATAATTTTGTTTAATTGCTGCTAAAAATATTTGGGATACTAAGATGCAAGTGTTGTCCTCTTCATCTTGATAATTGTTATAATGATTTCATGGATTCTAATGGTCAATATGTCAATTAGGACAGAGGGTCTCACTCTAAATTGGGGATGGATCATTGCAAGAAAGAACAAATAAATTAGAGATTTTGAGAGGGAGAGTGTGATATTTGTTTTCGGAATTTATTTTTTATTGGAACAAACACGTTTTTATATTCAACGTCACTCTTTGAATTTAACGGGCTTATGAAGAGTATGTCTTAGGTCTATCTAATAGAGGATTTTAATGTAGACGCACGCAAATTTATAAACAAGTA